GGAAATTAATCTTTTGCTTTAAAAATGAACATTTTGCAAGCTTTATTTTTAAATTAGCTTCAGCGAGCTTTGCAAGTACTTTTTCAAGGTTCTGGAAATGAGTCTGAACATCTTGCGACATGATTATGAGATCATCAAGGTAAACTAGAAGCGTACTTCCTATCAATCTACGAAATAGATTTGTCATGAGCCGTGAAAAGGTTATTGGACTACTACGCAAACCAAACGGCATTCTTTTGAAATGAAAATGACCATTGGGAGTACTAAAGGCTGTCAATTGTTTACTTTCCTCATCAAGGGGGATTTGCCAGAATCCCTGCAACAAATCTAACGTTGAGAATACTTTGTTTCGACCAATACTTTGCAACAAATCATTTAGAACTGGAAGTGGGAAACGATCAGGTATTGTTACTCTGTTAAGCTTGCGATAATCGATTACAGGTCTCCAAGTCCCATCTCGCTTTGGTACAAGAATCAATGGAGCGTTCCATGGCGAATTACTCGATTCAATTACATCACTCTGTAACATTTCTTCTACAAGTCTATCTGCTTCTGCTCTCTGAGAATGGGGAAGACGGTAAGCTGGTACATAAATAGGCGTAGTTCCTTGTTCAAGGGGAATTTTATGTGTAATGAGAGGAGTGAGACCTAATTTTTCTCCTGGTAGAGCAACAACAGCTCTATTCCTGTTCAAAATTTCCAAAAGCTGAGCCACAGAGTCAGGAAAATCAGTAGGACTGAGGTGTTGCGCTTGCACCTCTGGCTGAGATCCCTGTTCTCCTGGTGTGAGTGTACAAACAGTATGATCCATGGAGACATCATCCACAACTCGCACCGGTAACGAGTAATGGGCAAAATCTACAACATGGGTACCAGACTGGAGATGGATATCGGCATTACTTGTGTTCGCGATAAAAAGTGAGACAGTACCATCCTGCACTGTGTGCCAGGAGGGTTCAACAAATGTACCATTCACTTTACATGTTTCACTTTCCGCAATCACATCCGACAACTCAGGCACTCCCTGAACCTTAACTCTTATTCTGGTGAGAGAATGAGGGTGTAGCACAGTGTCAGTAGCCGTGGAACCACTGACTTCAGAGATGGAAGCTGCCAGGCGAGCGAGACAACGAGAATCCGTTAGGGCGTCCCCTTCCAGAAAGTCCCGATACTCATTCTCCTTAACAACTGCACAACTACTATGCTTCAATCGAGTGCCTGTTTTCTCGGGTATGCTACCACGACAATGATCTGACAAACCTACGCTAGCAAGGCGGGTGTCAACAAAATTAACATAATCTGATTGAAGGTTGAACTCGTGGCCCTGTCGATACATGCTACACAAGGGTATGACATGGTCTTTGATACTTATGTTCCAACGATGGGGAAACAATGCAATATTTTCATCAATCATGGTGTACAGACCTAAGAGAATGTCTCCAGGAAAATGAATAATGTCAACAACTAAACATGTTATAGACAATGTGACATCATTGAACTTGAGTGGGAGGTCAATTTCACCCTGAACTTTTACTTTATTTCCTGAAATACCACTTAGAAAAGGTATGTGTGACTGTTTTAAAATAGTAGGGTGCTTACTTTCAATGTCTCTAAGAGCTGAGGGCTTGACAATATTAATTTTTGCACCTGAGTCAAGAAAAACTTTTAAAACTCTACCATGTACAATGGCTGATACAAGGGGACCATCACTTGAGACTGGACAAGTTACTATTTTTGACTTATGTTGTCTGGGATATCTGCGTCTTGTTTGTGTCAAATTTACTGTGGATCCGTCAACATCTACAACTGGTCTAGAGTCAGTGTCCTCCTCTGTCAAGTGTCCAAATCTATTTTGGGTAGCTACTGAATACACAGGGAGGGCACTAGGATTGGCTAGCTTGAATTGGTTAGCGGATGGCCTTGGGGGTTTCCCGACGACATGGAGTGAACATTCTGAGCTCCAGCATTCTGTGACTGAGCATTATAATTTGAAGTTGCATTATAGCTGGGCTGGGAGTTGTAATTACGAGAGTTCTGATAATGTCTTGGACGCTGTGAGCCTCGCCAAGACTGACCATGGGAGTTACGAGGTGGAGATGTCCTTTGCCTAGCTCTACAATCCGCAGTGTGGTGACCAACTTGTTTATGGTACGTGCAATATGGAAGCCTAGAATGATTAGATTGATGAGGGGGCCGAGAGAATTGTCTAGGAGGTGATGATCTAGGGGCGGACCAACAGTCCCTTGCAAGGTGGTTACTCTTACCACAATGCCAACATGAGGGAGTGGATGGTTGTGGACTATGGCGTTTCGGCATTTTATGAGGCGGCGAATTTGACTGGGGGCTACGAGCATGGGTACGCTTCTGCGACCAAGAGTTTTGAGAATTTGTGGGAGGATGCTGAGAACTTGTAACTACATTTACAGCATCAGAGGGTGGCAACAGTTGAGCACTTCGGGGAGCTAGTTTATCTGCGGCATTGTTAATAGCCTCAAATACTTCACCAATTTCATGTTTAACACCAAAATTTTGTTGCTCAACGATTGGTTTTGTATGCTCGGGGGCAAAATGCATTAAAGTACCAAATGCTATCATTTTGGCCATAGCCTCAGGGGACAGATTATTGTCTTTATCTAACCAAGTTGAATTATTCATAGCAGAAACTAAGGCATACAGATACTGATCGAGACGGCTAGTAAACGCATTAAACGATTCACCAGGCTGCATGGTGGCATTGGCAATTTTCTTGACTAACCTATATGGGTCAAGGTCTCCTTTATTAACAAAGCGACGGCGAAAGAAATCCTTAAATTCAGGCCAAGACTGGAGGCTAACAATGGCTTTCTCATCAACAACAAAACGTGCATCACCTTTGGTTGTGTCCACGGCTGACCGTGCAATTGCTAAGTATTCGGCATCAGTAGGCTTAGAAAAACGTGCAACTGTTTTCGCTTCAACCTTACTAAACCATGATTCTAATAAACGCGATTCCCCAGCAAAAAGAGGAATAGCCATTTCCTGAGCTGATCTCTGGCCATTGGGACGAGCAACTGTTCCCATTGATTCTGAAGGGGTTTCAACAGTGGTAGGCATTGTCACAGCCGTGGAAGTAATATTTGAACGCAGATTATAATTAAGTGCACCTGGCATCAGAAATAGTATACACAAAAATAAACACAAAAAAATATCAACTTGGCTAAAGTAAAAATGGCAGAAATAAAATTATTAAATTGGGCTAGGCAAGAAAATAATTAAGAACAAGCAATTGTAAACTAAATTTAGCAATCTTTCATTAAAAAATGACTGGAATTAGATGTATGTAAATTAATTAAACCAGACTAAGCACAGCAATTTAGAATAAAAACTGGGAAATGCAATTGCAAAATTTCATTAAAAAGATTCAACACAACAAGTGGCAATGCAAGAAATATGGATGTAGCACATAAACTGGACACAGGAATGTATATAACTCCTATGGTAAAAGTTTAAAATAAAATGCTTAAAGGATAAATTTCAAGTTAGGTCTGGAGAAATTAAAAAAAATTATATTGCACAAATCCTTAACTGCTACTAAAACAAGGATTTCTTAATTCACTGGAATTTGAATTTACCAATAACACTCTAGGAGAACAATTAAAATTCAATGAAATTACTGTAAGAAGCAGGAATGTTGAAATCACACAGGAAAACTGTGGGGAGTGCAGTACTGAACCAGCTCCAATATTTAACAAGTCACTGAATGGTTAATTCACAGGATATTATGGGAATTATTACATAAGTCACTTTTTAACACTTGGCACGTTGTTCTCAACTAGCAATTACTTATCTCAGGGTTGTAATTTATGAGGATCACCAGTAGCCAAAGTAGGAGAAGCGTCGTGAAGATCTGAAGAGGCCCATGTGAGGCGTGTTTACAAACTGGATGCGACGGCAGCGCTCCTGGCGGCGGTGGCGCGAGACTCAGGGACCCCACACTGTTCAGGCTAGAGGCACGAAGATAAATTCTGACGACGACAATATTGCGACGATGGAATAACCAGTTGATACTTGCGACGATGGCTGACGACGATTGCAGTAGCTTGCACCCTCACGAAGCTTGATACTGTCAGCTTGGGTGGCGGTGGTGGTGGTGGTGGGTGTAATAGGTGGTTCCCACGTGGTGGCGCGAGGTTCAAAAATGGCTGGCGCGGGAAGCTTCCTTCCTCCTCACTGATGAGTGAGCGTTCTCACAGGAAAATATTGACCCTTACTTCTAAAACGTTAGCCTGGAGTAGTGGTTGATGGCAGGACCCCGGTCTGGCACAATATTTGATGCGTGGGTGGCAGGATGGCGGCTTATGGCGGTGGCGGTGGCGGCGGTTTTGGCTGGAACACGAGGCGATGCTGGGTACTGGAACTTTTGCTTCCAGAAAAAAATTTCTGGATCCCACTGCTGCTACCAGTATTCGTTTGCCTTGTTCGGGTTGAATGTAGACACAGTAGTCGCTTCTGTATATATTTATTGAGTGAGGCAAACAGGTGTATAACTGGCCAGCCGAGGTCCACCTACTCTGGGTCTGTGAGGATAACTGAGGCTGCTGGGAGCATGCTTGATGCTCCTCTGTCTGGCATGACGTCAGAGGCCTACTTGCCTGTGATTGGTTACATTTCAACTGACAGAATTTGAGTATAACATCACCAGGCCCCACCCACAGCTCAAATTAGATCCTGGGGACGACATACCACCCCAAACGACCTTCTCAAAGTCACTGACTTCTAGACTAAACACGCCATATTTCATAATATATTAAAAATAAGTTAGTAAAGCGAGAAGCTCTCGAGAGAGGGAGAACTGACGCGAAACACCGGTTATTCCAAATGACAAACAAAGGTCAATTGAAGGTCAGAGGGTGTATATAGTGCAAGGTTGTAGGGTGCGAGTTTGAAGGTGGCGCTGAAGGAGGGTGTGGGCGCGCATGCGTCCTGAGTGACCTTGAAGTGTCCATGGCGGCCGCGTACACTCGCGTCGTCTGCAGCTGATGCTAGTGGCCCACTAGACACGGTGAGAGGAGCGTACACCCGGCATCATGACCACTCCCCAGACCGACCTGGAGAAGAGGAAGCAGATCTCCGTCAGGGGCATCGCGCAAGTTGAAAATGTGGCCAACGTGAAGAAGACGTTCAATCGCCACTTGCACTACACCCTGGTGAAGGACAGGAATGTGGCCACCCCCCGCGACTACTACTTCACCCTCGCCCACACCGTCCGCGACCACCTCACCTCCAGGTGGATCAGGACCCAGCAACACTACTATGAGAAGGATCCCAAGGTAGGGGCATGATCTGGGTAGTATGGGGGGGCTGAGGCCAGCTGTGTGGCCCATTGCACTCGCCTCGCCTGGAGGCACTCGCCTCCTAGTGCAACTTTAGCATCACTTAGAACTCTAGTAATTACTCGAAATATGATTTAGAGTTGTATATAGCGGTATCCTTCTCGTAATTTTAGCAATGTAGCCTGTGTAAAGCAAGTACCATAGTTTACATCAATGGTTATTTTCTTCAAGGACGGCACCTTAAAGTTTCGTATATATTCGTTTGATAACGAGCTGTAGTGGTTTGTGTACCAGGCAGTGTGGCAATAACGGGGTGGGAGTCATTGCCAGCACCTGGGTGCTGGGGTCAGCTTGGCCTTCCCTATGTTGTTGTTGTTTAACATTCAGCTACTGTGAACCAAAAGTTGCCAGTAGCACGGGCTATGGTGAACCCGTAGTGGACTTACCTGGCACAGGAGCGGGGCTGTGACTGAGAGGGAGGGCCTTCCCTAGCTCAGCTCAGCTCAGCTTATAAGTTAAATATAAGCTTGGAATGGTGACGTGTGCATCTCCCCGCCCGTAAAGGTTACTCTGACATTTACCCTTAAATAACATTGTAATCTCCTTAAATTAATTTTATTTATATCAAACCTATTTTGTTATTTTGTTTATCTCGGTAAATGTATATATATATAGAACTCAACTGGTTTCCTTTACGATTTTACGGTTTCATTTTTCATGGCATGTATGCATCTCTCACCCTTGGTGGTGGTGGTTTTAGATTGAGTTACTGTGAACCAACACATGCAAGTAGCACGGGCTATGGTGAGCCCGTAGTGGACTCGCCTGGCACAGGAGTGGGGCTGTAACTGGTGTCAAAGACTATAACTCAACACACTTGGTTATTTCCAAAGTATCCGGATGCCTTTTCTCTAGCTGTTTTATCATGCAACTGGACATCCCCTCTAGTTTGTTTGTAATGCATCCGGGCATACCAGTAGCTGTTTGCTATGCATCAAAATGTAGCTGTTTGCTGTGCATCAGGACATTCCCTGTAGTTGTTTGCTATGTATCAGGACTTTCCCTGTAGCAGTTGCTATGGATCAGGACATTTCCTGTAGCAGTTGCTATGGATCAGGATATTCCCTGTAGCAGTTGCTATGGATCAGGACATTCCCTGTAGCAGTTGCTATGGATCAGGACATTTCCTGTAGCAGTTGCTATGGATCAGGACATTCCCTGTAGCAGCTGCTATGCATCAGGACATTCCCTGTAGCAGCTGCTATGCATCAGGACATTCCCTGTAGCAGCTGCTATGCATCAGGACATTCCCTGTAGCAGCTGCTATGCATCAGGACATTCCCTGTAGCAGCTGCTATGCATCAGGACATTCCCTGTAGCAGCTGCTATGCATCAGGACATTCCCTGTAGCAGCTGCTATGCATCAGGACATTCCCTGTAGCAGCTGCTATGCATCAGGACATTCCCTGTAGCAGTTGCTATGGATCAGGACATTCCCTGTAGCAGTTGCTATGCATCAGGACATTCCCTGTAGCAGTTGCTATGCATCAGGACATTCCCTGTAGCAGCTACTATGCATCAGGACATTCTCTGTAGCTGTTTGCTATGCATCCAGATATGCCTATAGCTGATTTGATTGCCTCCGGAGGCAGCTAGTTTATTGTGCACCCCATACTCCCATAGCTGTTTGTCATGCATCCAGACATTCCTATAGCTGTTTGTTTGCCATGTATTGAGACATTTCATATGGTCGGTTGCCATACGCCTGGGCATCAATATAGCGGTTTGTTTGCCATGGTTAAAAAAATCCCTGTAGCTGTTTGTTTGCTCTACTTCAGAAAATTCCCTATAGCTGTTTGTCATGCATCCAGACATTGCCTATAGTTTGCCATGCATATTGACATTACCTATAGTTAGTTTGCCATGCATCCAGACATTTTCTAGAGCTGTTTGTTTGACACTGAGAGATTTTCCCTATACTGTAGTTGCTTGGCCACCATGCATCCAGACATTCCCTATAGTTGTTGGTTTACTTTATATCTGGACATTCTCTATAGCTGTCTGCCAAACATCCGGATATCCTCAGTAAATGTTTGCGTATATTTTATATTCAGAATTCACGTTTTAACGTCTATAGCAACCCATCCTGAAATGATAGTACTTATAGTTACTATGTGGTGCAAAGTACAAATCTGTAATTAGGCACCAACAGTAAATCACTTTTTGTAATTTTTAGTTTTATAGAGCCCAGAAAAAATATAGGAAACTCCACAGATTGATAGATTGAAGTTAAAATGTTTTTTTATTGGGAGAGGAATTACGCCTTTTAGGCTTATTAGGGACAAGTAGCCTTTTAGGCCTGTAGAGGTATACCCCTCTGCCAACGGCTGGCCTGCCACGGTGGTTACCCACAACAGTTGCCAAATTCCGGGCACCTATTTACTGCTAAGTGAACAGAGACATTACTGCTAAGGAAACTTGTTCAGACGTTTCGTCTACTGTGGGAATCGAGCACCCATAATCAATGGTGTAATCAGTGTTGTACAGCAAAAGTGGTGAGGGAGTCTTAGCCCCAGAATAAGCTCCCAAGACCTGGCCTGTGGTTGTATCCACCACCTCACAACCACACGCCAGGCCTGGGGAACCTGGGGGGGTCAAGTGAGGAGCCAAGACTCCCTTACCACTGGTCCATATAGTTTCGAAGCTCTCGTTGGTATACTCTGTCGAGGAGACAAGCAGTGCTCTTCAGGGCACTATTATACTCAGCATTTTGTTAGACGTAATTTGAAGCAGTGTCGCAATAAACATTGGGCTCCTTACTAGGAGAGAGAGACTGGTTAGCATGCATTTTCTGACTCTTGTGTTGTGTGGTCTGACTGATTGTCATCGGAAACCCTGCGCCAGTGTGGTGACTACAGGAAGGATGTTGATAAGCAGGGTGTGTAGGTTCGGTGATTAAAATTCCACGTGCTTTCGTAACTTACTCCTTGGTAAGTTACTATCACATGAAAAAAGTTTTACGAGGAATTGTTCGATGATGGGATCGACTACGCTATTATGATGCTATGACAAGGCAAGACATATTGCTATTATGGCATGACAAGGCGGGGCATGGTGCTAGTATGGTGGCCCCCCATATGTGCTAGCACCATGCTAGCATGGTGCTAGTATCACTGGACAAGGCGAGGCAGGATGCTAGCTAGTATCACTAAGATAAATGTACAAAATATCGTCTAATTGACATAATATAGATATAAGTACACATTGATACTGTTGAAAAATAATCTTCCAAATTTTACATGGTACAGAATGAGTGACTTAGCTATGCGGAACAACGCCATATTTCATTTGTACCTCGGGCTTTATGTATCGGTAGGCCTACTGTCTTGTACCTATTGGAGGATAGGTTGGTATATCGGTAGGCCTACTGTCTTGTACCTATTGGAGGATAGGTTGGTATATCGGTAGGCCTACTGTCTTGTACCTATTGGAGGATAGGTTGGTATATCGGTAGGCCTACTGTCTTGTACCTATTGGAGGATAGGTTGGTATATCGGTAGGCCTACTGTCTTGTACCTATTGGAGGATAGGTTGGTATATCGGTAGGCCTACTGTCTTGTACCTATTGGAGGATAGGTTGGTATATCGGTAGGCCTACTGTCTTGTACCTATTGGAGGATAAGTTGGTATATCGGTAGGCCTACTGTCTTGTACCTATTGGAGGATAAGTTGGTATATCGGTAGGCCTACTGTCTTGTACCTATTGAAGGATAGGTTGGTATATCGGTAGGCCTACTGTCTTGTACCTATTGAAGGATAGGTTGGTATATCGGTAGGCCTCAACCCTGGGGTCGGCAACATTTTCTTCGGGCGGGCTAATCTGAGAGCCGTTGATGGGCCACATTCATCTATTGAACTATTTTATAACTATTATATGAAGGTAATAATAAAACACAGCTATGAATTACGGTCATTTAATTTATGCAGCTTTATATTAACTGTCACAACAGGTAGTTTGACATTTGTTGTTAGACAACCGCTCATCCCCGACACGCCTCGCCCCTCCCCGCCCATCCCCGACACGCCTCGCCCCTCCCCGCCCATCCCCTCCCCGCCCCGCCCATCCCCGACACGCCCCGCCCATCCCCGACACGCCTCGCCCCGCCCCTCCCCGACACGCCTCGCCCCGCCCCTCCCCGCCCTGCCCATCCCCTCCCCGCCTTGCCCATCCCCGCCCCTCCCCGCCCTGCCCATCCCATCCCCACCAAGATTAATTAAGCCACCCAAAAGGTGGCACGGGCATGAATAGCCCGTAAGTGGTGGGCCTTTTGAGCCATACCAGTATCAAGAGCTGATACTGGAGATGTGTGGAGGGTAGTAACTAGGAGGAAGGGGGAGTTAAGAGTCAAACCGCTCAAGTAACCTAATGAAGATTGCCTAGTTATTTCACCTTGGCTCGCCAAAAGTCTTCACGCGAGCTACAAATTTCGGTCTGATTTTTATATTAATACTGGTGACTGTATGCGGCTTGGTGTCCCTGAACTTTCGGTCATACCGTGCTGGAAAAGTTCCCTACCTCGGAGGGTAGGAACTGCTTTCACCCCCCCCCCTCCATTTACCCGTAGGCTATGGTGACCTTTTCCCTTCTTCCCCACTTTCCCCTACACAAAGGCTGGATGGAGGGAGGCTCGCTGCCTCCTCACTCTTCCCAGGAAGACTGGATGGATTCTGGCTGGATTCATCCATCGAGACAAATCTTTGGTTCCCGAGAGGCTAAAAGGAGCAAGATGGTCAACCTCTGGGAGGCTTGGGTGAAGGGACAACGCTTAAACGGGGTAAAAAAAAAATGAAGTGCGGCTACCGTACTCGCCTAGTTGTGCTTGCAGGAATTGAGCTTCGGCTCTTTGGTCCCGCCTCACGACTGTCAAAATCAACTGGTGTACAGGTTCCCGAGCCTATTGGGCTCGGGAACATATCTACATCTGAAACTCTGTATG